TCTATTATGGACCAGGGCCTAGATTTTCGAAGCTTTCTTAGCTCTAAGATAGTCGTAAGTGCCGTGCATTAACATTAACTTACGACTATCTTAGCGCTAAGAGAGCTTCGAAAATCTAGGCCCAGGTATATATAAACAAGTGGTTGAAATCATGCAAGGTGCAAACACCCAATGGATTCCACAACCATGTTGAAAATAGAACTCAGAGAAACTTGGGAAAGGAAAACCAAGTTCTATGGATAGTCAACTTCTTTATTGCAATGAGTGCGACGTTTCGGGGTAGGTACTAACACATTTATCAAGCAAGTGGTACAAAAAGTTGAAACAAGGAGACTATATACATTGCTGCATAGTGAGTATATACAATTGACAAGCTTGATGTACATTGGATATCTAATTACTGATTTGAGCAGAGTAGGTTGATGTACAGAGTGATTGGTTGTGATTAGAGTTAAGTTTATACAATTGATGAGTTTGAAGTACAATGACTGGCTGATGGTGATAGGTAAGTAGGTTAAAGTACACTTGTGATTACAATGCACAAAAGAGGAGCGTGGAAGTTAGGGATTCGATTTTCCGAAGCTCTCTGCGCTTAAAGCGCTAAGATAGTCGTAAGTGCCATGCATTAACCTTGAATAACTTACGACTATCTTAGCGCTAAAAGAGCTTCGAAATCTAATTCAGATGGGCAAGTGAGGTATGGGTGTATTACTGGCTCTCGTCTTTGTGATTGGCCAAGAAGACTGCAGAGGAGATGAAATAACCTTCATCACGATTCATGGTGGGGTTGATGCGTTGGATTTTTATGGCTTCAAGGACTTTCCTAATCTTGTAGTCTGCTCGGTTGATTTCCAGGATGTCGATGCTGTCCCATACAGTGGCATGGTCAGGGTTGGCTTGGGTGTGGTCGGCTATGGCGGATTTGGAGTCGTTTTTCTGGACTGAAGTTTTGTGTTCTTTAATTCGTAGTGGGAGCGGGCGGGATGTTTCACCAATATAGAAGTCTCCACATTCACAACAGATCTGGTAGACTACTCCAGTGGGGTCATCTTTTGTTGCTGTTTGCCTGTGGCTTGGAGGAGGTTTTGGATGGACTTGCCTTTCTGGAACAGAACGTCTATGCTGCTTGCTGCTGAAGTAGTCGTCTTATCTCGTGGCTGACTTCTGGGACATACGGGATACTGTTATGAAGGGTGCAGATTGCCGACGGGGTGGATTATCTCTTGGGTTCTGATGACATTCTTGACTAAATTCTGGGGGTACTGATTATAATGAAAGAAGACATGACGGAGGTGGTTAGTTCCGTTTCTAGGTGTTGTATTGTCGAGCAGATGTCCTTGGCTCTTCGGGATAGGGTGGAAATAATGCCCTTCTTAACCTGTAGAGGGTGGTTGGAAGTGAAGTGGATATATTGGTCGGTATGGGTGGGTTTCCTGTAGACAGTGGTGGAAAGCTTGTTGTCTTCTTTCTGTTCTAGGACGTCGAGGAAAGGGAGTTTGTTGTCAGATTCTTCTTCCATTGTAAACTGCATACGGGGATGTTGGGAATTGAGGTGGTCGAGGAGGTGTTCAGGGTTGTCGTTAATTGGGGTTGAGAACTACAAAGGTGTCGTCTACTTTTCTGTACCAGCATATTGGAGTGATGGGGGGATGTCAACAGGGCCTTGTCTTCAAGTTTATTCATGTATATCTCAGTGATGACAAGGGAGAGAGAGGGAAACCCATGAGCAACCCATGGGTTTGCTGAAAAATCTTTTCTGACCCGGTAAAGTAGGTTGAATTGATGCAGACGTTGATGAGGCGGATTTTCTGTCAATGCTTAGATGGGTGTCTAGGTCAGGGTGGAGGTCTTGGAGTCTGGGAACATTGGTGAATAGGTCTACGACGTCTTAGCTGATTATTTTGCCAGGCTGGGTGATTGAACTGATCTTAATGCAGAATTCGGCAGAGTCGGAGACGGGGAATGTGGCTGACTTACCAAGGGGCTCGAGGAGACGGACAATGTGCTGGGCGGTGTTTTAGTGGAGGTGTTTCTGGAGCAGACTAGTAGGCGAGCCTTGATTGGGTCTTTGTGTACTTTGATGGTAGCGCAGGCGTAGGGTGGTCGTGGATGAGGAACTGTGAGCTGCTTATGAAGAGTGGGGCCTATCTCGTTGTTGTCACGGAGTTCCTTGAGTAGGGCTTTGTGGTCATGTTGGAGGCTGTTGGTCGGGTCTTTCTTCAACTGCTTATAGGTGGCGGGGTTGTTCAGGATGTTGTCGGTGAGGGTGGTGAAGGCAGTGGTGTCCATGATGACAGTGGATCTTCCCTTGGCTGCAGAGGCGATGGTGATAGCTGGGTCAGACTGAAGTTGTTTTAGGGTTACCGTGTTTGTATTAGTTAAGTTGTATTTTATTTTAACATTGGGGTTGTTTTTCATTTAAAGAGTGTTAGCTATCTGGTGTCTCAGATAGTCTACTTTACCTCCAGGTGCAAGTTGCTGCAACCCTTTCTCGACATTCGCGATGAAGGTGTCATTGTTAGGGCAAGGTGAAGGTGCAACATTCAAGCCTTTTGAAAGTTCAGCTCTGTGATCATCGCCGAGGTTCCTGCTGCTGAGATTGATTAGTTTTCTTGTGGTAGTTATCTTGTGGTATTCATCACCTAGTTGGCGTTTGGTGATAGGTCCGCTAAAAGCTCCAAACAACTGCAATAGTGCAGTGGTAAGGCGTATGCCTATCACGCTGAAGGCCGGGTTCGATCCCCGGTGGAGGCACCTAGGTTCGGGTGCCGAGGCACATTTGCGCAGTATCCTTGGACAAGATACCTACATCCAAATTGTCTCAGTTCACCCAGCTGTAAAATGGGGTCTCAGTTCACCCAGCTGTAAAATGGGTACCCGTGAATATGTGATGGCAATGTGAGTGTTTAGTTCATTGCGCCTAACAGGCAGCATGGCTGTATGATCCCCAGGGAGTTGAAAAAGTATCGGAAAGTACCATAGTTTCCTATGTAATGTACGTCGTGCCGTGAGCAGGCAATGTGTTTGGATATGAGCGCCATATAAGCAGACTATTACTTTCACAACCTAGACTATTTCCTTTGCGGTCAGACTTAAGAACAGTACCCTAGGGTTATGGCAAACTCAAGAGACCACTAATTTTAGATCGACGAGACCATACTTTGTCGAAACCATTTCCACTTAAAGACGGCCAGTGCTCAAGACAAATAGAGCATTTAGCTATATCAAACAGTTCATAATATGTGTTCGTTAATTATATCATAGTTTATTGTACCGCCACTGTTTTCATCTGCCGTATATCTCACTGACAAGGCAAGCAGGATGACCCTCTCAACTGTATTTGTGGAGAAATATGCTCCATGATATCCGCATATTGACTGATTCTTGACTGTATTTGCGTTGCGTCACTTTTATGATGATACATGGGCATTACAAAAACATTTTTAGTCATCCCAAAATCTTGGCGTTGCAACTTTCTTTCATAAAAGCTGTGCAGTTTGTGACAATGATAATAAATTGTGTTCTTTTTTTAAAACTTGTTTATTAGTACATTTAACCATCACAACTCCAAGTATCCACATGATGTAGCTTGTCAGGCTTAAAAAAAGTGAACTAAATTGCAAGTTTTTAACCATTCCACCAGTGATATGCATTCAATCATTAAACAGATGGCTTACGTTTAATCATTCAACAAGACAAACGTTTAATCATTCAAAAAATGACTTGCACTTAATCATTAAACAAGCCACATAATCAAGCACTTAATCATTAAACAAACCACATAATCAAGCACGTAATCATTAAACAAAATGACTTGCACTTAATCATTAAAACAAACCACATAATCAAGCACTTAATCATTAAACAAATGACTTACACTTAATCATTAAACAAATGACTTGCATTAATCATTAAACATAATCTTGCACTTAATCATTAAACAAACCACATAATCAAGCACTTAATCATTAAACAAGCCACATAATCAAACACAACTTGCACTTAATCATTAAACAAACCACATGATCAAGCACTTAATCATTAAACAAATGACTTGCACTTAATCATTAAACAAATGACTTGCACTTAATCATTAAACAAGCCACATAATCAAGCACTTAATCATTAAACAAGCCACATAATCAAGCACTTAATCATTAAACAAGCCACATAATCAAGCACTTAATCATTAAACAAGCCACATAATCAAGCACTTAATCATTAAACAAGCCACATAATGAAGCACTTAATCATTAAACAAATGACTTGCACTTAATCATTAAACAAATGACATAATCAAGCACTTAATCATTAAACAAATGAAGTACACTTAATCATTAAACAAATGACTTACGTTTAATCATTAAACAAACCACATAATCAAACATTTAATCATTAAAACAAAATGACTTGCACTTAATCATTAAACAAGCCACATAATCAAGCACTTAATCATTAAACAAACCACATAATCAAACACTTAATCATTAAACAAATGACTTGCACTTAATCCTTAAACAAGCCACATAATCAAGCACTTAATCATTAAACAAATGACTTGCACTTACGTTTAATCATTAAACAAAATAAGCACTTAATCATTAAACAAACCACATGATCAAGCACTTAATCATTAAACAAGCCACATAATCAAGCACTTAATCATTAAACAAACACATAATCAAGCACTTAATCATTAAACAAGCCACATAATCAAGCACTTAATCATTAAACAAGCCACATAATCAAACACTTAATCATTAAACAAGCCACATAACTTGCACTTAATCATTAAACAAACCACATAATCAAACACTTAATCATTAAACAAATGACTTGCACTTAATCCTTAAACAAGCACTTAATCATTAAACAAACCACATAATCAAACACTTAATCATTAAACAAATGACTTACACTTAATCGTATAACAACCTTATCAAGTACTAAATCATTAAGGAAATGACTTACATTTAATTATGAAAACACATAAGCCACACTTCAACAAATCACTGGCATTTAATTATTCAACATGTTACAAGCATACACTGGGTGCTCAACTAACAAACACTATCATGATTTAAGCAGCATCAATGGAAGCAATTTGAACACATGAACAAACCAAAAGATCTGGGTATACATTATATATCTCTGTAAAATATATGCCTTGTGACTAGTTAATGTTAGCTTCTGTGAAACCCCACACAGTATATTAAGTACACGTAAAACAAACCACAATAGTCTTAAGTATAGATAATGAAAATGTATGCCACATGATGGACTTGGAAGACTAAGCATTATTCATAAAAAATGAAACATGAAACTAAACTGAAGACAGTCCGTTCCTTATTGCTATGTTTGTTTAATCAAGACATAAACAACTGATGCACTTTTGTCTATTAATCGATGCCTGTTTGCATAATGCTATGACTGTGTCCCTGTGTAACTTTTGTGTTTGATTGGCATTCTAGAAGTTGCTGACCGCCTCCATGGTGTAGTGGTTAGAGCGTCCGCCCAGAGAGCAGAAGGTCGCGGGTTCGATCCCCAACCGCGTCATACCCAAAGACGTTAAAATATGGTACTTGTTGGTCCCTGCCTGGCGCTACAAGGCTCGGAGTCAGTATAATGTGTCTGAGTGGGGTATTCATGCTTCACTGCGGCATAGTATCTCAGTGAGCTAGCACTATAAAACCAGCTTCAGTCTGGGCTAGTAAAAGCAGCCGCACATACACATACACACGCATGCACGTCGTCATATGAGCGAAATATTCTCAAGCACGACGTTAAACCCAATTTCACCTCACCTCACCTAGAAGTTGGTGAGTCAACAATAGTTGTCATCCATAAAGTTGTATGTTTCATTTGTAACTTTTGTGATGGGGTTTAGGATTATTACTGATTTTTTATCGATAACTGAGCTCCGATTATTGATTTGCATATTGCACGATATAACCAGCACTACAAATGTAGCTTATTATATCCATAAAATACGAAACCCTAAATCAATCCAATCAACCCTCATACATATCAAAGTCAACATTAACTGATGATGATAGCCTTGATTATTGAGCAGGTTGCGCACAATTTACTCTTAGCAATGTTGAAAAATATCACAGGACATTTCACAGATGGTAACTATGTAGGGAAGCGAACTCAGACCTGTAGCAAGACAGTCTGACACATTAACCTCTAGGCTACCCTTTCCCAAGTACGGATGCAGAATGTGGCCAATGGATATACATTTTATGTCAGTGTACTTGTTAACATTGAGCATGTGTTTTGTACTATACTGAGAGAAACAAATAAAGGAACACAGGAAAATTCAAGCGTTCCTTTAATATTTTTCAATTTTCATCACCAGCTTTGAATAGCACTGTGGGAGGAAATCTGAAAATAAATAAAGGAATACTGCCATGAAGTGGTGTTCCTTTATTTGTTTACCTGAGTATATAAATGACAAACTTTAAATCTTTGTTGACAACCTCTGTGTTTAGGATGGATGTTACAACCTTCACATGTTTAAGTTATACTGCACAAACCTTTACATGATGATATATTAAACAAATCAGACAGTTCAATGAGACAGTCACATGCATATATCAATGTTATGCATATACAATTAATTAAATTTGATGAAATCATCAAACTGATCACAAATACTGAAAAAATATCTCTCTCCTTAATAAGTGTAAACAAAATACCCCTTTGGTCCTCATAAATATATTTTGGCTCTCAGTCTGTTGAGATAACAAAAACCAACAATAAAAACAGCGCCAAGGTACTGAAGTTCACCTTTCTAAGTTAACACATCAAGACAGAATTTATAACAAGTCATTCTGACAAGGTGTAAATTGTAACAATGACAACAATTTTTCAAATTCAGTAGGATTGACATGATGGTGCACATTTTATTTACTGACATGAAAATAACAGAAATAATAAAATACAGTTTTCCAAGTCACATGGTCTGCATATCAGCTATAAGCCCATCTGCGTAGGGAATCGCCAGTTGGCCCTTCCAGTGTTTGGTGAATAGTCAATCCAATTCTTTGTCTTATATCAAGTGAGTGAGTGAGAACGGTTTTACGAGTCTTTTGGCAATATTCCAGCAAAATCATGGCAGGGACACCAGAAATTGGCTTCACACACTGTACCCATGTGGGGAATCAAACCCGGGTCTTCGAAGTGACAAGCAAACACATTAACCACTAGGCTACCTGCTCCTTATATCAAGACTTACTGTTACTTCTGTACCTGTGATGTGGAAATAAATAGGTTTCTTTGGAGACATTTAGTACAGGAACAAGGTGAGATGGAAGGAATTATACTAAAGTATAAGAAAGGATGACGGGCTGATGAATATAATATAGGCAGTGTAGTGCAAAATAAATATTTAACTTATATTAGTACATGAAGCTTTCACCCTTTCCTTTTTCTCACAAACTTTGATTTAAGCTTTTTCTTTTTGAGTCTAAAATTGAAAGTTACAACCCGACCTGGACCTTACAGACCACAAAGGTAAAAGTACACTTCCCAGGGAGTGGAAAACTCAAGGCAAAGTATTCTTCCCAGGGAGTGGAGAACTCAAGGCAAAGCACATCTTAACCTTCACCATAGATCTACTTGTTCTGCTGTCACTGGACAATGTCTAGAGAGCCTCTTACAGAGGAATGTATGTTTAAAGTTGGCAGCTACGGAGCCAGGTCTCCAGGTTCGAGATCTGTTTCTCTACACTTGACTTGGCGGTTCCTCCGTACGCGGTATACTGGTCCACGGAGTTCTCGTAGTTCCAGACATCTGCCACATCACTCTCAAACAGAGGGCTGCCGGAATAAACATGACTGAATAAGTAAGATTGGCTGTCAATTGTTTATACAATAATAAATAATATAATCTTAATATGTGAGGTGTCAAAAGTTGCAGATGTTTTCTTACGAAATGAAACTTTACAAATGTGGTGCTGAGAAGCAGAATAAATAAGATGAATATTACATTTAAACCAACAATCATCAGATCCTGGTACGTGTAAGGGTTGCAACTCTGCACAGATTGGGGCACTTCTCAGCACTGGCTGCTTTATCCCCACATGTAAGGATAGTCAACTCACCACAGATGATTTACTGAAGAAAGTATATCTATGCATTGAAAATGTTAATAAAGACCTAAAAATGGTAATGAACAAGCCATCCATTTGAGAACAGCAAGTGAGTTTGCATGCTGTTTATACCACGCAAGCAATATTCCAGTAATATCTCCGTGGAGGACACCAAATGGGATTCATACACTAGAACCACACACTGAACCTTGGCCCATGGCGTTATGAACGAACATATTAACACCCTGACTGCCCCATCACCCCTAAAATGGAACACTGACTGACTGAGTTTTAGTTTTACGCCGCTTTTAGCAATATTCCAGCAACATCATAGCGGGGGACACCAGAAATGGGCTTCACACATTGTACCCATGTGGAGATTCGAACCCGGGTCCTCGGCGTGACGAGCCAACGCTTTAACCACTAGGCTACCCCACCGCCCCCTAAAATGGAACAAGTCCTGAGGAACTATTTCAGATAAATCTACCAGAAAATTAATTTTAATTGAACACCATATAACATGCTAATTTAAATCCTCACTACATTATTTCGTTTTGGACCAAAATGTTGCATCCATAGAAAAACGTCAATGCAGTATCAATCTTGATTATTCCTTTTGAAATTCCCCATGGCATTGATAGATATAGCTCATCAAAATCTGGTCATGCAAAAATGACAAATTCTCTGCAAAATATTCTAACAAATAAATGACAGGGTTTAACAAATAAACATTGTGTGCAACCCTCTGGAATGGTTGACATGTTTGTACCTGACAGTCTTGAGGTCGTCCAAGAGGAGTTTCTCCATGACACAACCTTTTTTCTCCGCCAGTGCCACGCAGCCTCCGGCCAGGGAGTGGGCCTCGCGGAACGGAACCTGTACAGGGAAACAGAGAATCTAACTGATATCAACGAATGATATAAAATGTATCAACTCACGAAATAATATGCATTAACTATGTCAAATGTATCAACTGACAATATCAAATGTATCAATGTATCAATTGACAATATCACTTGTATCAAATGACGATATCAAATGTATCAACTGACAATATCACTTGTATCAAATGATGATATCAAATGTATCAACTGACAATAACAAATGTATCAACTCTGATAGATAACAGTTAATACTTTTATTGCTGAGTGTTGATAATTTTGATGTCATAAGACACGGGGCTGAGATTCTAATTATCTCTTTGACTTAAGGGGCGGTGGGGTAGCCTAGTGGTTAAAGCGTTACTTTTCGTCGCTGAAGACCGGATTGATTCTGACAATATGGGTACAATGTGTATCAAGCCCATTTCTGGTGTCCCCAAATGATGCGTGATATTGCTGGAATATTGCTAAAGCGTAAAACCATACTCAGTCAGTTAGTCGGCTTTGAATTAGTTACTATGCTATCACAAGTACAATACAAAATTAAACTCTCCCCTCTTAAAAGGGTTACACTCAATGCTACTTATTAGTGTTAAGTGAAAGAGTGAGTGAGTGAGTTTAGTTTTACGCCGCTTTTAGCAATATTCCAGCAATATCACGGCGGGGGACACCAGAAATGGGCTTAACACATTGTGCCCATGTGGGGAATCGAACCCGGGTCTTCGGCGTGACGAGCGAACGCTTTAACCACTAGGCTACCCCACCGACCTAATGCAAAGCACTGTGATTCAGTTTCTGGAAGCCAGTTTCAAGTGATAAAACTGTGTTCCTCACACATCATGGTCCAGTGACATCAACAGGGTCTTGTAGTTTAACAACATATTCATCAATCTTCCAGCTATATGACATCGGTATGTAGTTAATGGAGTCTGGACCAGACAATCTAATGATTGTCATCACGACTATCGATCTTCACACCAGGTGATTGATTAGGTTTAGGACACTGATATTAATAAGAAAATGTGAAACATGGATACATTACCCCTTTTCTGACGAGGTAGTACGCCACATCCGTCGCCAGCATGTCTGAGCTGAGTGCTGCACTCATGGAATCCGGGTAGATCTACAACAAGTCAACAGTCGGATTTGTACCGCTTTCATCAATAATCCTTCAACATCACGGGGACATTCATGGGGACATCAAACCCATATCATCAGAAAATTAGCGAGAAAAGCCAATATCCTACTGCCTCAGTAAGGCTGAAGATAGATACACTTTGTCCTCAGACATGGACCTTTTCTAGACAGGGAGTTTGTTTTGGAATTCTGGAGCCATATTCATTTTCAGGTTTTCCTGAAGCAATATTCCAGAATAGTCAATATACTTTCAGGCTCAGTGCTGTTGTCAGCAATAATCTCAGTCATTTTCAGGTTTTCCTGCTGTTGTCAGCAATATCTCAGTCATTTTTAGGTTTTCCTGCTGTTGTCAGCAATATCTCAGTCATTTTCAGGTTTTCCTGCTGTTGTCAGCAATATCTCAGTCATTTTTAGGTTTTCCTGCTGTTGTCAGCAATATCTCAGTCATACTCAGCAATATCTCAGTCATTTTCAGGTTTTCCTGCTGTTGTCAGCAATATCTCAGTCATTTTCAGGTTTTCCTGCTGTTGTCAGCAATATCTCAGTCATTTTCAGGTTTTCCTGCTGTTGTCAGCAATATCTCAGTCATTTTCAGGTTTTCCTGCTGTTGTCAGCAATATCTCAGTCATTTTCAGGTTTTCCTGCTGTTGTCAGCAATATCTCAGTCATTTTCAGGTTTTCCTGCTGTTGTCAGCAATATCTCAGTCATTTTCAGGTTTTCCTGCCATTGAAGTTTTTCTTTTGCTGCAGCCATGTTCAGGTTTTTCTGCTGTTGTCAGCAATATTACAGCAATTTTCATCAAGGGTCATTCAAACTGAGTTTTGCTTGACAAATATAAGCTTCGTTCAATGCAAATGGTAACATACCTTAAGTGTAGACAGGACACCTGTCGCCACCTGCAGAATGCCAGCCAGGGTGTCATAGGTGTCGAACATTGCCTCCTTGTCTTCCTACAGCAATACAATAACATTCAGTTCAATGTGTGTACATATGAATATTTCCAGTTCAGTATGTACGAAAGCCCAGAGGGGCCAAAATGATTTTTTTAATTTTCTGTTTTAAAAATTGGTAATAACCACTTTTTTCCTTCTAATTATCACTTTTTTCTTGTAATTTCACTTAATTACCACTTTTTTCTGGTAATTACCACTTTTGAAACTAGTAATTACCACTTTTTTCTGGTAATTATCACTTTTAAAACTAGTAATTACCACTTTTTTCTGGTAATTACCACATTTTTTTACCACAACTTTGCAATACAGATACTGGTATTACATTACTTTTGATACATTTTTCTAAAAGTTTAACACCCAAATGTCATGCTTTCCAATTTAAAAAACTCACATCTTATATGACGAGCAGTTGTGCTGTACTCGATTTATTTGATATAAGGAGCAGTGTTTGACAGGCTTGAAGTTGTCAACCAGCATGTGTTCTGTACCACAATGGACTTCACTACTGGTCACTCAAGAGTTCTAGCTGGCCTGTACATTACCTGCAGGTCCTTGTTGTAGGTGCTGGGGATCCCCTTCAGGGACATCATGAACCCCGAACACTGCAACATCATCAACAATACATCACATGTGGAACTCATCACACCTGTCAGCAAGATGCAGTGTTGAGCCTGACCTGACAACCGCAGAATCCGATATACGTGGGGTAGCAATGACTTTGACTGAAGTTGTGGCTATATGTGACATGTGAAGACCTGTTAATTTTCTTTTTCTGAATGTTTGTTAATAATTTCAAAGCCCACTGAAATGTGTGTTTAATTTTATTCCATGGGTACAATGGGTCAGACAGACATTTTACAGGACCCACTGTCCTGTTATGTGAAACACTGGAACACTGCTAATGGTTGAGACCTCTATCTATCCATACAAGGAAATGTTTTTCCAATGCTAATCTTGGATCACAGAATAAGGCAGTATATGAAATAAGGCCCATCTGACTGCCAGAGACGGGACAAATTTCTGACCGATGGTCTAAATTCAAAGCTAGCCAGCCCAAAGGTCCGGTAAAATATTCAGATAACATGTTACATACATCTGAGTAAATTCACCACATCATGAAATCTATTTTACAAATTGAGCTTTACATTTACACTTGACTATCGTATCACAAGCTCAAAGCACTGCGTTGACATATGTTATCACTAAAACAGCGACACCGATCGATGCATGGAGTTTTGCAAATTGTCTGGTCTGGTTAAATCCATTTTTGGCTGGTAACATTTTGAAGTTACCAGCCCTGATGTCTGGCTGGGTGTTTGGCTTATTTCATACTGGAATATGGGCGTGACACACTAATCCCTGTTTATCACAACTTGACCCATTTAATCATTATTTCATAATGCAACACATTTCCAAGGAACTCATCGACTGAAGTAGTCATGGAAACGATGATGAGTCAGTGTTGTTTCACACCACTGTCAGCAATAATCCTGCTACAGTGATACCTGTCTAAACCAGCACAACGCACCACACGGGACCGAAATTAAATGTCGGTTTAGACAGGGTGCCGGATTAGACAGTGACAATCATTTTCCGTTGTAAAATGGCGGGACCAAAACGTTATGCCGGTTTTGACAGTGTGCCAGATTAGACAGGTGCTGGTGTTGGCAGGTTTCACTGTATATCGCTGTGGCCCGTAAATAATCAAGTCCAACTGCTGCCATAAGAAATGATCAATACCACTGTAGCACAATGACATCTTACAGATTCAAATAAATCAAATGTGTTTTTGATATCATAGGTCATAGACATCATATTTTTGTATGACATGATTAAATATCGAGATAAAAATAGAAGAAATAGGATCAAATTGGATCAGTCATCATACCATCCACCATTCTTATTGTCCGATTACTTAGGCTGAAGAAATCCTGCCAAGGAGGACAGTTGCCCAGTCCCCGTGTCCGTCACGGCCGAGGGAGCAGGGACTGACATAATTAGATAGTTGGTGCAAAACATTAATCGCTCTGGATCAGTGCCCCTTTTATTCCTAACTCACAACAGACACCATAGCATAACTACTTTTCCACATACATTTCCGAACAGTCTTCCAGATTTCCCGCGGATGAGTTCCAAACTGTCCGAGTTCTTCTTCTGGGGCATCAGGCTGCTCCCTGTGCTGTTGAAGGCAACACATGCTCACCATGTTAACAGCACATGTATCGTACATTACCTCACAGACTACATCAGTTAGCAAACCTGACACTGAATGTACATCTACAAAGTACTCACTTGAAATCATAAATACTGAAATATAATGAACATCTACAAATTTTTGCCTTGGAAACACAAGGCCAGATGTGCAACTTATCGTGTGGTTAAATATTTTTAACTGAGACATATTTGCAACACAAAAGAAGATTCATTTCTTTCTCAGAAGACAAATATTGACTAGCACATCAGCTAGTGTGGCATCCTGGTATTGGTTACAAGAAATGTGCGACAAGACATGAAGGAATGGTTCTCACAATGCTCTGGGAATGTTATCTACATGGTATCTTGATAATTCTGCATGCAATCTACTGATAACTCTGATTTAAATTATTCTGTTCTGAAAAAAACCCAAACAAAATAAACCCCCACTGATTGAATTATTTTATTCTGAAAAACCTCCACGACTGAATTACTCTATACTCTGACACTCATCCACATGACCACAGCCATCACCTTCTCGTCCCCTCATTCTGAATCATTCTGTTCTAAAACAACCTTTACCAACGGAATCATTCTCTTCCCACTAACCTGTATGCGTCTGAGAGCGTGACGAAGTTGAACTCCTTGGTGGAGTAGAGGATGAGGTCTTCCGCCCAGCGGCTGAGGTGAGTGCTGAGCAGTGAGGCCCAGAACAGGAACTCCACTGGAACATGGCCGACATAGACTCAGCACCAGATAAACAGTTGCCCAAACTTGGTGTATCTGGGGATTTCTTGCATAATTGGCTTCTAATTCAGTAATACCTTATAAGATGACCATGATTATTGGAATAAGTCACAAATTTTAGCTACCCCCTACCTTTGATATCTGATCTAATGTACAGTAAATCAAGAACACAAAATCCCAAATAAGGCAATTTAGGTGAAATGGGTCACTTCAATAAGAATCATTTTCTGTGTCTGAATTATAAGAAGTCAGGCAGAAATTCATTTCATTGTAGGAACAAGGACCACTAACCGACAAAGTCTCGGTCGCTGACCGCATCCAAACTGTTTCCTGTCACCTCCCCCAGGCCAAGTTCTGAAACAATATAACATCGATGACATCATTGACTGCAAACAATATAACATCGATGACATCATTGACTGCAGTAATGGAACACATGACCTGCTGACTCTGATCTGTTATCAGCCAATCAGGAAACAATGATTTGCTTACAATTGTGGCATAACTTGTTTTCAGTCTATGGAAAAATAAACGGAAAGGAAACAGCTTGTTTAGTTGTTTAAAATGCCACTGAATCACTTTCAGTTATACATAAGGTGTGTATTTCTTGTAACATATGTTATGTTTGGGATTACACTTTCTTAGTAAAGTACAAATTCTAGTACTTTTTTGGATTGAGCCCCATCCGGGATTGGAACCCATAACCTCAGTGTCATGCACCTAATCACCAGCACACAAAGTCAGCCGCCTAACCTGCTCAGCCATCGTGACTTCCACAAAAAAGTACTAGAATTTGTACCTTACACAGAAATGCTCCTTTTACCTTTAGCAAGGAAGTCTCTGTCCACACCGAATGGGTTCCCAGCCAGCGCCCCACTAAACAACAAGAGACAGATTGGTTCAACATCACTTTGAATCAAAACTGCACAAGCATGGTGCTGATGAACCTAAACACATCATTGGGAATTCAAATCTATACTACCCATCAAAAGTTTAGACTCACTAGTGTAAATGTAGCCACTTACTTCAGTCAACTGTTCTAAACTACATTTTGCAAAATATTCCATAAAGTTTAAAGATACTGTTTACACATGCACTGATGTATTGTAAACAAAATTGTAACACTGAAAAGATTATTGTCATGAGTTCAATAAATGATGAAATTCAGTGAAATTTGACTAATTCTTATAGTCTGTTTGCAGTGAAAACGTACCGATGAGTTTCACTTTAAACAAAAAAATAAATCGAATAAAGTGAAATTAAGATTGCGAATCCTCATAATTTTACATTGCCAATTGAACATTTAAATCTCAGAATTTTATTCAACTTAAGATAAAAGTTGTTTACCCATTTCCGGTGTCCCCCGCCGTGATATTGCTGGAATATTGCTAAAAGCGGCGTAAAACCAAACTCAGTCAGTCAGTAAAAGTTGTTTAACAAATGATCATAGTTTCAAATTGCTATTATTGGTTTGTAGTACAGGGGGGTACACACATTAAGTGAAACACCGAGAACAAGTAGGGTTGGTCTAAGTTAACGCTCATCACGCCTACCAGCACGTGCATTTGTTTCACTGTTCCAACTACTGCGCTTATCCCCTTGTAATACAACCCAATAATAGCGATGTGAATCTATGCTCGTTTGTTAAACAACTTTTATCCTAAGTTGAATAAAATTCTGAGATTTAAATGTTTAATTGGTAAGGTAAAATTATGAGTATTTCACAATCTTAATTTAACGTTATTTGATTTACATTTTTGTTTAAAGTAAAATTCATCGGTACGTTTTCACTGCAAACAGACTATAACAAAACTTTACACCAAAACGCAGCTGTTCACATGCACGATATTTGCACATGCTTTACAGCAAATTGATGCATGATCCTTGTGCAATTAATATGCATAAGCTTTGCAGTTGGTTTCCCCCAAGTTAGTGGAGAAATACATCTTCGATGTAACCATACATATATACATAACATATAGTGAGTGCTTTAAGTGAGTCTGAACTTTTGATGGGTAGAAAAGAATCAGAGCTATAAGGGACACAACTCCGTAATGCAAACTGTGGGGCCTTCCCTGTGCACCTCTGTAAGATCAGTGAAATCATTTTCAATCTCAATACAAGATGACTGTTATAATGTGTTAAAAACACGAAACGCTTCTTCATTGTTTTCACAAGAACATATAACTTAACTCTTAATTAACATATACTTTATGAAGTTAACACAATGTCAACCTGTAGGCCGACAATTATTACCCAAGTCAATGGATCAGTGTAGCTGCAGTTTCTATTCTCAACACCACTGAAAATCATACATGGACAATATTTTTATGCACTGTTTTAATAACATGGTTTACTGCAGTCCAACGATTTAGTACATAAGCATTCCCTGAAGGTCTTAAGCAACCATGTTTGTCAATGTGTCAGTCAGATGATTGCCTTGCCCTGAGTCACAATTTTTCAAACTGTCGTCACATAGCTGGAATACTGATTGTGGTTAAACAACAAATTAAGTACACAAACATATCATCTTGTACTTCAAATTAACAGCTTACTCTCTTCAGGGGAGACAACTCTTACTGACCTGCCAAGAGGCAATACTGCTGTTCTCTCTCTCAGCTGGTCTAATCTCTTCAGATCTCGCTGCAACATCCATCCATAGCTGAGCACAACACGGATGAAGAAGGGGATATAAACGTATATTAAATGAGTTGGTTTAAATGACACTTTAAACATTATTTCACTCAAGTCATGGTTTGCCAGTTTAATGAACAGGAATGCAATTCAGGAACATTTATCAGTTCATGAAAAGTATAATCATGGTCATGGTGCTGACGTAATGCTTCGACCACGTTTATAGCAATGAAACAAAAGAGGTGCACCACAAAATGTTTTGAAGACATTTACTACAGGAAAACATAGTTTCTAATACTACAACTTTTTTGCTAATTACTTCATTGCATAATAATTATTATTTTTTAAATCAAGTTACAGTAGAACACGGATATAACGAACTCCAAGGGACCACGAAATTTAGTTCGCTATATCCGGTGTTCGTTATTCACATTTGACCGCCATCTTGGATTGTAGAGATGTAGAGACACGTATATGCTGAGGCTACAAATATTTATTCTTGTACATGTACATTGACATAACATTAAAATTCTGAATTTATCATTCACAGACATTACATGTTTAACAATCACAACAATATCAACAATACGTTTGCCTGCCATAGTGACGAGAGTGAACGAAGACCTGTATACCAGTCAAGCTTTTAAACACGACATGTTTGTTTTGTTAAACACGTTAATGACCATCGCAACAATGTTGATTCGCCGCCAACAAGGTTGATGTATACCGCTAAGTGGCTGAGCTGACACTGAGTGAGTTCGCTAATCACGTCGTTAGTTGGGCTTGGGGTAGTAAATCAGTTTCGCTATAACAGTTAATTAAGCTACTCACGAAGTTCAAGTTATTCGCTGTATAATTTTAATGATATTATAAAGGACTGTTGACGGACTTTTAGATTTGTTCGCTATATCCGCTTGTACGCTTATATCCGTGTTCGCTATATCCGTGTTCTACTGTATTTTCTTTATGACTATTAGTTGATTTTTTCAGAAATTACTTTCCTAGGCCTGTTTTAGATTTACAGAGTTTTACCTTAGCAACCAGTGGCTCCATCTGATTGGCTGTGCTCTCTGTAAGTGAGTGTAACCAGGAAGTAAGATGTCAATTTCTCTGAAATATATTCAAATCCAGTTACTGGAAACATTCAATGAAAGAAAAGCAAGCATCATTTACTGGGCTTCATGTCAATATACAGATTTGTTTGTTATTTAACGCCGGACTCAGCAATATTCAGGATGAGACAATCCAGTGATCAACAGCATGAGCATCGATTCAATACAGACAGCAAAGTAAAGCATCCTCTGTACAATGCTATTACTTCACAAACACGTTTACAGTAAAGCCGTCTTCAACAACCAGTCAAGACATGGCATGGTTCAAACTAAATTAAAGCAGTGAGTGTTCTGTTTCCATAATACAAAGCCTTATTTCTCATGGAAATAATCGCACAGCTCTTCTGCCACATTAATTCACACAAAATACAAATAACTGCACAGAGCTGGGCCTCACTCAACAATATTCCAGCTATATGATAGCAGCCTTTAGATATACAAGTCTGGACCAGACAATCCAGTGATTGATATTATGAACAATAATCCATGCTCAGGGACTATGAGTGAGTGAGTGAGTGAGTTTAGTTTTATGCCACACTGAGCAATATTCCAGCTATATGGCCGGTCTGTAAATAGTCGAGTCTGGACCAGACAATCCAGTGGTCAACAGCATGAGCATCGATCTACGCAATTGGGAACCGATTACATGAGTCAACCAAGTCAGCGAGCCTGACTACCTGATCCCGTTAGTCGCCTCTTATGACAAGAATGGGTTGCTGAACATCAATTCTAACCCGGATCTTCACGGGTCTCAGGGAATATGAAGACACACTAAGTGATTCAACCAAGTCAGCAAATCTGACAACCCAAATCCATTAAGTCAGCTCTTATGACCAGGTTCCATTTCAAAACGAAATCCCCAGCACAGTTTGCTAGGGACCTATTCTAATCAGGATACACAAAAACATTCATATTTTTTCTGGGGACCTCTTCAGCACAGTTTGCTAGGGACCTATTCTAATCAGGAAACACAAAAACATGCATATTTTTTCTGGGGACCTCTTCTAACCTGGAATCTGCCCCAAATTAACCTGACATGCTACACATCAACAGACTCACAACTTGGCTCTGTTGAGGATGACACTGATGAAGTTGGTGAGGTAGGTGCGGAGCTGGAGCTGGGCGTCCCTCATCCACAACCTCATGTCGGTCGCCACCTGATCATTCCGGCTCCGACCGGTGTGAAGCTTGCCTCCTGCCGTACCGATCAACTCCTGGAACATTCACACAACCATGGACATCATCGATCAACTCCTGGAACATTCACACAACCATCATTGACTGCGCTGACATTTGAAAGAATCCTGATACAAATCTGCGGAACATCTTCACTTTAATCTTTCATAGAGTTTTCTGTCTGTGAATCAAAATCTGATTAATGACATTGAGTTTCTTTCATTGGCATCTTCCATTTTATATTTCAAACAGTTTTCTGTGAATCAAAGCTAATGAATGACCTTGAGCCTTCTCTCGTTGGCAGTGTGGATATCTTCATCCCCTGGTTTCAACTCAAACACATCTTTCTGCCACTCATCTTTCACCTGCAAATATATCCAGGGCTCGATTTAGGCATTTAGAACTTGCACTGGGCGACCTGAAACTGCTAAATGCAACCTCTTACGTATATCAACTTGCGCCCAGAGCATGTTAATATTTTGTGTTCAAAGAACACAGACTTCAGCTGGAAAACAGAATGATGAGGAACTGACGTGGAACAGTGATTCTGATTATTGTAGGAACAGTGAATGAAGGACTTACTGTTCATGAAAGTTTGGGAAGTAAGATAGCTACAGATTTCTTTTGTTATAATACTGTTCTAAAGCATCTTTACCAAAACTCTAGCATTATATAAGAGATTTTATGATTATTAAGCAGCAGGTGCAACCTTGTTTTGTTTGGTGCAACAAGGTGATTTCCTACGTTGCATTGGGTACAAGTAGGTTCCATTTCCTTAAATCGACCCCTGATATCACATCATATTTTCCTGTCTGTGGGATTATAGATTTTACAGCAATATCACAGCGCCAAAATATATTTAAAATCAGGTTAACAATTGAGGCTATACCATGCAAATCACAGGGGTGGAAATAACTTTAAAATTGCTAGTGTACTCCAGTACAGTGGCATATGTAAAATCACTTGCTCTGATAATATTTCCACTATACTGCCCGATTTTCTTTTTGTTTTTTAAATAAACAACATAATTAACATTGGAAAGACAACTGGACACTGGTACAGCGTGATATACAAATTTGCTTGCCCGACAGAAAAGAACACTGGACTGGGACGTCAGGCAATGGGTAATCAAAGGTTCATAATTCTAAATAATCAAGTAGATGAAAACACAGTCACACCAGGATTTATCTGAGATTCAAACTACGTGCCCTTGGCAGGCACAACACTTTACTTTATCACAACAACAAGATAAGATATTATCAATGCCACAATTTTCAAATGGATAATCATGAACCATTCTTCCTATAGACGATATTATCGATTTCTAGCCAGTTCTTACAGAAAACATGCTTTCAATATCAAATTTCTGCAATTTCTTGACCAGGGTTGAATTGGTTGAAACACAGTGATTTCTTATCGACATTGCTTATCTTGTACCATGTGGGTGGAAACTTTAACATTGATTTTGGTATTTCAATCAAACATGTGCTGTGATATTCCATTGATATACAACAATTTTGTTTATCCGAAGTAAAATGCCATGCTCAGCAATTTTTCAACTATATATATGGCGGTCAATATACAGTAATAGTGGTATGTCGTCAGACGACAAGGGCATGGTCACTTTGATAGACAAAGGTTGGACAGCTGCTGTGCATAGCTATATCAAGTTCACTGAAAGATTTTTGTAGTTTTATTCTTATTATACACATCCTCTTAAAGATCTTGTAAATTCATTCAACAAATCCCTGTTATCAATGTTTTTATATTGTAAATATGAAATATGTAACTTCTGGGAGAGGGCGTTCCTAAGTTGGATAACTTGTGCCCAATCCATTTCATTTTTTAATAAAATATGTTTAAAACAAAAAACAGCTGCTCACAGAATCTCTCTGTGAATGCAACAAGTAAGTTCTTGTAGGATGGGATTCGATTAGAGTTACAATTAAATATTTTTGTCTGTAATGTCTCATACTGACATACCAGTATTCATTAGACTCACAGTTTTCTACAAGTTTTCAGCATGATTTGAGTATTTAAATGTAATAATTCACATTGTGTATTATATATTACCTCCCCTAGGTCCTGTTCATAATGGGGCAGTTGGGTAGCCTAGTGGGGGTAGCCTAGTGGTTAAAGCGTTCCGCTCGTCATGCTGAAGATCCGGGTTCGATTCCCCCCATGGGTACAATGTGTGAAACCCATTTCTGGTGTCCCCCGCCGTGATATTGCTGGAATATTGCTAAGAGTGACGTAAAACTAAACTTACTCACTCCCGTCCATAAAGGGGCTGTGGGGTAGCCTAGTGGTTAAAGCGTTTGCTCATCACGCTGATGACACAGGTTCGATTTTTCCACATCAGTATAATGTGTGAAGACAATTTCTGGTCTCCCCCGCTGTGATATTGCTGGAATATTGCTAAAAGGGGTGTAAAACTCAACTCACTCACTCCTCTCCATAAAACTAATGGGCAATCTTAGTAAGATATGAACTTTATAAAATAATAAGATATGAACTTTACAAAAAGTCGAAATTTTGAATAAGTGCTAACGGATTCCTAGTTTGCAACCCTGCACGCATCCTCGATAATCTCCAGGGTATACGTTACGATCACTCTCCACTATACCCTGTGCTTGGCCTGATGATTTTATTACCTCCCTAAGCCGATTATCGAGGATGCCCTGAGTGATTAGTTTAAGATCCTATAAATATCCATGACACACACCAACAGTCATCCATCCTTCAGTGTGTAAACGTCACCTTCTCCAAGCCATCCAAGATGGAGTCCCTCTCTGCTGCTGTCACAATGCCCACCTTCTCCAGCGCCTTCACAGTATGCCTGACTTCCCTGAAACACACGCGGCATCTTGTAAAGACGAAACCATCTGTAAAATTACCAATTTCCTGTTATGGGATTCAAACACGGACCTTATCCATGCCTGGATGCCCTGTTTACATGACCAAGGTTAAGCCTGTAAGCAAGCTGATTAGGTAAGGATGACATCTATGGGATGACTCTGCACCCAGGTACATACTCCCTACCTCAAGGCACCCTCCTAAGCCATTTTGTTAGGTACTGAGAGCTATTTAACTCAAATTTAGCAAAATCATGCTCTGCTAATCATAAAAATAATTCTGTGTGAAACACTGTATTGACTTGAAGTATATTCAGTATTTGTTTAACCAAAGAACCCCACTTGGAGAATGTTTTTATGAAGAGATTTTTTTCAGGTTTCAGCAAATTTTAAGAGGCTTTTTTCATTTATTGGTTTCCACTAAATATAAAATTTAAAAAACAAGATTTCAAACAAATGGTTCTAGAAACAGTGTAACACTTTGGAAAAAGCTCTTTCACTGAAACAAATGTTGAGATCTAGATTCATATAAACTGTGGGCGTCTCGGGGATTAAATAATAAATAAATATCATAATTACATAGTGGGTTGGGTACTTGGGTGGGCGGCTGACGTAGTACCTACCTTTGTGGTCATATCTGTATAAACTTTCGCACATGCCGACCTCGTGTCTGGGGAGACATGACGATGTCACACTTCTTGCATGTTCAGCAGAGATGCAAAGATCGTGTGCATTTGCTGAATTTCGGATTTCCCCAGTCACGTGGCCCGGTGTGGCTACATAAGTCAGTCGTCCAATACCCGCATCGGGTAAGTCAATCTACGACCTCGTGTCTTGAGCCAACACCAACTAATAAGTTTCCACATATTGTTTATTGTTTTGGGGATATCGTATTGATTTAGTGGTAGTTTTGGGAGGGGGAGAAATAGTGTAGGAATAAGTAGGTTTTATCTTGTTATTTTCGGGAGTAGGTAAAAGGGGTGGACGTAATCAGAAGTTAACAGAGTTTAAGTAGGATTTAGGTAGGCAGGGAAGTTTGTTCATTTCTCAACATTTGTTTTGACCTAAATTCCTTATACATCTTGTTTACTAAACAAGAATGGAAACGAATACTCTCTTTGTTTTGACTTTAATTGAGCTAAAGTTGGGAAACCCATCAGGAATCATTTATACAGAACCTGCAGACAAGAAATACTGACCACGCAAAGAGGCCAATTATAAAACACAAAGCAAAGCATATTACTTCAGTAGCCAACTGCAGAGGTACAGATAAGCTGCGTATCTGTGTAAATTACGAAAAAATGTATGTGAAAACTCAATTCCTATCAAGTCTAATGCGTACAAGTATGCTTGAACTTTTGTAAATACTCAATAAATTTGATATTACATGCGTACACACAAAAATGTGATAGAGATTACCGAGGACAGATCAAATAACTGAGGTATATTGAGAGATTCTATTTCCGCACATGAACTTGGCAACTTGCAGTCTTATTGTTTCTCATATTACAGATCAAATACAAATAACAAACACGTAAACCAACATTTAAACTGTGTTATTTTTACAATTAATGGAAAATGGCAAAATACCCAATTGAGTTTGAGTGAGGTGGGTACAATTTATTTGGTTACTCTAAGGAAAACTAGGATACCCAATTGAGATAAACACAAGCGAGTACATAACTCAACCAAAAAGTTATCTGTAGCTCTGCAACTGACACTTGTCGCACATCTGCATCGTTCTACTGTCACTGGGCGTCTGTTTTACATCTCCCACGCGCTAGGCGCCTATTACATAAACAAATACAGACAAAAACCCTTGTGTCAAAGTTGAAGTGATGTACATAGATTCCAGGAGTTATCCGAGGTTCGACATAACCACAGAATGATGAATATATACGTGAGGTATACACATAGATCAAGCCTTTACTTTGAGGCAACCGTATGTTGAACACCTCAAACTTTGGCACAATGGTGTATATGGGTGACTATTGAGGAGGAAACAACTATTGCGATAGTCTATTGCAACATGCTACTGCGATAATGATAGTCTATTGCCACCAAAAATTGCAATACTATTGCCATAGTTTTTTTTCTCCTTGAATTGTCTCCTCATTTCCCAAATGAATGTATAGTTTATATAAAATATAAACAAATTGAAGTAGTTTCAGTCTCTTCTAATAACTGACAAGAAACTTGAAACCCAGATCAAGTAACAGTTAACACAAACTCAATGAAGCTGCAAGTCTGCACCCAAACACCTTGTATTTTGCGCTGCGCATTTATCAACAGAAGTTAATTACTAAACTATCAATAGTCACACATACTATCAATGCATTGATAGTTTTTCATTTCTATCGATTAATTGTTATCGGAGACTCAACAGTTGAATCCATCGATAGTTTGATGCATCGTTACAGCCCTGATGGTGTATGACTATATAGTCAAGCTGGCATCCTGATCAAGATTAGATTTAGACGATAAGTACCTCAATGTCTGCCTTCCCCTCAAGATTAGATTTAGACGATAAGTACCTCAATGTCTGCCTTCCACATCCTCTTGTCATAGGAGATAGAGGCGTTGAACTTCTCCATGATCGGGTCTGTTGCTCCGGTAAACCGGCCACCCCACAGCTTATTCCCCTGGTGGTTCAAACATAAAGTTGATAAATACAAACAACAATGTGTAACTTTGATTCTCTAGACTATTTTAGCTTCACAACGGTGTTAGTAAGTGAGTGAGTGAGTGAGTGAGTTTAGTTTTACGCCGCACTCAGCAATATTCCAGCTATATAGCGGCGCTGCGGTCTGTAAATCTGGACCAGACAATCCAGTGATCAACATCATGAACATCGATGTGTGTAATTGGGAACTGATGACATGTGTCAACCAAGTCAGCGAGCCTGACCACCCAATCCCGTTAGTCGCCTCTTACGACAAGCATAGTCGCCTTTTGTGGCAAGCATGGGTTGCTGAAGACCTATTCTACCCCGGATCTTTATGGGTCACAACGGTGTTAGAATCTACAGCGAAATTTTCGCTCTGTGCACTAAACAAGAAGTTGTTATCCGCAAAGTTGTATGCTTCTAAACCTGCTGCAGCCTAGCATCTGTCACAAAGTAGACATAACTGCATCTTCACTGGCCACTTAATCTTCAACATGAATCACCCTATGTGTGTTTAATTAAGAAACTAAAATAAACCTTCAAAAAACAGTCTGAACAGTGTATATATATGTGCATATATGTTTTTAATTTTGCATTTAAAATTTTCAATTTTACAAGCTTTGCACACAATGTGTCAAGTGATGCTGCACAGTGATATTGCAAGAATATTGATAAAGGTGGAGCAAAACCTTACTCACTCACCCATCCACGCACCTACTCACTCACTCACTACTGCAATCAGCCAGCCTTTGTCCAGCCAGTCCTCAAATATGACCTCTCAAATGTGATTATACCGTGACCTTCATTCAATTACCTATCCACTTAAAATCCATGTGTTAATGCATGTATCGAAGTCAACGATATGAACCACCCAATACACTATTTATCTATTTTGAGACACCATCAGTGAATACACACCTCTCCAGCTCCTTCTTGCTTTGAGTCCGACATCACGGATGTTCCTCAGTTTCTGTAAAACACAACACACAACAAGCTGACAATACGGTTTATATTCAAGGACAGAAATGATTACCTGTAGTTATACATTGTGTTGTGTGTATCATATTTCACGGTCATGAAACAAAATGCTAAATCATTCGCCAATATTTTTAAAGCATGCAAAATAAACCAGCCCTGAGCATAAAAACACAAACTGTTCTGTAGCAACAGCTTACTGTTAACAGAGACCATATAATAGTCTATTATATGGTCTCTGCTGTTAACCAGTCCAAAATAAACTGTGTTTGTGCTATAACTGTACTGCATCTGTGTTGCAACATTAGTGTTGGGAACTGGTTAAAATCTAACAATTGATGATTGGTTCATTACAACTGATCAATCATTGAAAAAAATTGGTTAGCGTGATTTATCAAATTCTCCTGTTTATGTTTGTTAATGCACAAAAAATATAGAAAAAACATGTACTTCTTTCGGTGTGTTTTTTGCAAATTGCACAAAATGCATTTACAATTTTCACATCTTTACAGGAGGACTAGCATGTTAGGAACATAAATTTCCTGGAATCTTTAAGATAATTTCAATCATGACAAGGAACGAGCTTGTAGTACTTATGAAATGTAACAGACAAAACCAACCTTATGAAAAATGTTGTTAATGCAAACAAGTGTGCCAAAATTGTTTGTGTTCGATTATGAGAAAACATGATCGATTGCTTGGTCGTTTAGTCATTGCAACCAATCTTCGACTATTTCAATTAATCGGACCACCACTAGGCAACATACATCAATATCTGAAGGGGCATATTGTAAATCATGCAAGCTTTCTTTAACTGTATTTGACCTCTAAGTTCATTTGTTGTTTAAAACACACTCAGCAATATTCCAGCCATATGGCGGCGGTCTGTAAATAATCAAGTCTGGACCATACAATCCAGTGATCAAAAGCATGAACATCGATCTACGCAAATGAGATACAATGTCAAGTGTCAATCAAGTCAGCAAGCTTGATCACCCAATCCCATTAGTTGCCTCTTCGGACAAGCATGGGTTGAGGAATACCAAATCTAATCTGGCTCTTCACGGGTTGGACGTCTAAGTATAACAGTACATATTAACATATTATTGTGAGCATGTATTTACTACTCATTAAAGCAAGTGTTCTGGCTCACATTAATACATTGGCATATTTCTATTCAAACTTATCAGAATACACGGTCAGATTCACATCACATTCACAGAGTGAGTGAGGAAGTTTAGTTTTATGCCGCTTTACCAATATTCCACCAATATCATGGCGGGGGACACCTGAAATGAGCATCACACAGTACACCCATGTGGGGAATCAAACTCGAGTGACGAGCGAACGCTTTAACCACTAGGCAGGCCCCACCACCCCCGGAAAAATAACAACCACAAATATAAAATGTCAATTCCATTGCAAAATCAACTAGATTTTCCCCTGAAAATGTATCTTGTTGGGCATAAGGGCAAAACAGCATTGAAAACTAAATACAGGTGGATCTTAGAAAATATGCAACAACACCAGGTGTTTGTGAAAAGGGTGTTCTATAGGGATAGCCAACAATGAACAATGTAATCAAGCTTTAGATTTAGACATGTCTTCAACTACTGTGTCAAGTGTGGATGATAGAGCTGTCAACATGGTCATGTTAAGGTGATATTCTGTTCACGCACAAGTGTCCAGGAAATATTTTCGAAGCTCTCTTCATGTTAAGATGGGGACAGTCCAGTTTTTTCTGTCCATACATATCACATTGTACTTAAAAGTTGATATTCAATCTTAGCTCTAAGATTTAAAAATCAACAAGAAAAACGGCTGGTATAGTGGAAAAAGCCTCAGGCAAGTGATTTTACATGTGCCACTGTACCCGTACACTAGATATTAGAGTTATGAATCCACCCATGGGTACAAGGTGAAATTGGGTTTACATTTCAAGTGAGAATCCCGCTCATATTGTGATGTCTTCATGTTAAGATGGTCATAAGTGCCATACATTAACATTAACTTAATAACTTATGACTGTCTTAGCTCTAAGAGAGTTTCGAAAATCTTGTCCCTGTACAGTAACAGCTGTCGTGGTGATAACAGAACACCGCCATATAAATGAAATATTGCTGAGTGTGGCGTTAAAACAACAATCAATCAATAACGGTAACTCTGTTACCAAACACATGGAACCTGTGCAATCTTTCATAGCAGTCTGCCTGTTGAACAACTCTCATATCGAACTTTCTGCTTTTGATTTCATACAAGTTAGATCACATTTACACTAATCTGGTGATGCATAAATTCAACTATGTACAGTATGTACAATGAATGTACAGGAAAAATCTACGATTACAAGTTAATATTTAATAAATTTATAGTCACTTTAACACTGTATTCAATACCATTATGCCTCTTCCTCTTTATTGGTATCTCAGAATGACAACACATTAGCCTCCATAAAGCCAAGATATTACATTGGTTAGAATCATATTTACATGAACTGGGAATATGGCCCCATGGACAGGTCTTGTTAACCAATGTTCATGCAGTTTGTCTTAATTATTTCACTGAGCAAGTCTAATAACTAAGTAGTCCTGGGTGCCATTGTACAAAACAACTTTAGTGCTAAGTTTAGCTTATCTCTTAAGGCTAACCTTAGTCACTAAGTTCAGCCTTAGGCACTAAGTTCAGCCTTAGTAAAGGTTGTTTTGAACAACGGCACCCTGGGATTTGTCTTGGGTTCCAAACCAACTGCCCTTCACTGCCAAATTTGGAAAAAATAGTCAGTCTGTTTAAAATTTGGAAGTTTTTAATGTTCGTATTTTCAGATGTATTTTGACATTGTAACATGTTATATTTGGTATTACACTTTCTTAGTAAAGTACAGATTCTAGTACTTTTGTTGGGTTGAGTCCCATCCGGGATTTGAACCCACACCCTCAGAGTCAGGCACCTAATCGCCAGAACACAAAGTCAGATGCCTAAACCGATCAGCCATGGTAGAATCTGAACTTTACTAAGAAAGTGTAATCCCAAATATAAAATATGTTACATTTGACCACTTTCTAAATGGCATTGTGTATTTTATATTTTGACCTTGTGTTGCAATATTACAATCAATGCAATAATGTAAAATTCAACCACCTCGTCTTAAATGGTTCTGTTATAAGTGGAATAATCGACCTCCACTAAACCATCTGCGACCACATTTGTTAAACATGAACTGTTTATTCACATGAACTATTTAAGTCCGATTCAGCAGTTTTACTGACAGGTGCTGTAAATATGGTTCTGATGAGCTGTCTATGTCCAAAATAGATTACAACCACCCAATATAGTTTGAATTACAAAAATACATAAAACAACGAGAGTACAACTGTCGGCATAACTTCCAAATGTGTCCTTTTCTACTTGCATACATGTACTTCTTCATTAGTTTTTATTCACACAGTGAACTCTACTTCAGTGAATATTGCATGTACTGCTTCTTCTTTCATTGTTTACCCATGAAGGTCCGGGTTAGAATATTGGCCTTCAGTAACCCATGCTTGTCGTAAGAGGCAACTAACGGGATCGGGTGGTCAGGCTCACTGACTTGGTTGACATATGTCATCGGTTCCCATTGCTAAGATCGATGCTCGTGCTGTTGATCACTGGATTGTCTGGTCCAGACTCGATTATTTACAGACTGTCATATAGCTGGAATATTGCTGAGTGCAGCATAAAACTAAACTCACTCACTCACACACTCTTTATTGTTAATTGGACATGTGACTGGGACATTCTTACACATATTGAATTCATATTAACAATTAGTCTTGGGAATTGGTTAAAATCTTATAATTGATGATTCGTTCATTGTAACAGATCAATCATTGAAAAAATTGGTTAGCATCATTTTTCAGATTTTCCTATTCAGGTTGTTATTGCAGATAAGTATAACATGATACAACTTGCTACTTTAAAGTGATGACTAATATATCATGAATATAAACTTCCTGGAGTCTTCAACAAATATTCAGTCATGACTTTTCAGTTAGTGAAGTGAGTATTCTAACAACTAAACACGTTTTCAGGCCCTGACAACCTTGGCGATATGTTCCATCGTCAAGTGTTTCAAAGACTAAACCAGTAGAGGGGTAGAAAAAAGACGATCCAGTCCTCATTCCTCCACCTAAGCATTTGTTTATCTCATGATGTCCCTATCACTAATAGGGGCACCTTATCAGTTCCAGTCTGATTAGCACAGACAGTGATTTCTGTAAAATCACTAATCTGCCTTTGAACTCACCCGTCAATGGCGGAAAGGTGTGAGCTGCGCTTGGTTTGTTAATTTGATCAGTTTGCTACACCAATCAACTTCTCATTGACTGACTTCTCGGCTTATGTATACAAGATTGCTGTTGTTTGAATCGCATGGGACCAAATTTCCTTCTCGAGTCATCGCGGGTGTATTTATGAGACGAATATCGCGTGTAACCGTATTCAAATGATGACAACTATAACAGGGAATGGTCGGACCGACAGGTACTTCGAAAGTTATGCATAATATCTCGAGACACCAGCATTCGACTCCATCGATTTGACTGTAGTTCCAAAATCATTTGTGTTTGATTATGAGAAAATGTGATCGATTGCTTGGTCATTTAGTCACTGCAACCAATCTTCGATTATTTCAATTCATCGGAACACCACTACCAGCTTCAATTTGGTGATTTAGCATAATGCAATATTCATTCATTCCATATGTTACAAAGTGCAACCTAGATTATTTGTCTAACTTTTTTCAGTGCAAGTCAAAAAGCGAGTAGGTAAACTGCTGAATATAAACATCTAAATAATATCAATAGCATATTTATGGATATTACACATTGATTTTAGAAACATGTGCAACTGGAAATGACTGGTGCAACTAGTCATTTTTATCTTAGGTTGCACCCCATGTAAGTCATGTTAACATCAATTAAATCGAGCCCTGACTATTTGTAAGAATAATTTTAA